ATCTGGGCTCGAAGCAGCGACATATAGTAACTCTTGTCGACAACAAATCGTCCGGCTGTGCTTACATTCATTTTAATTCAAAGCAAAAGAAGACACGGATAATTTTGAAACGCGAATGATCTACAAGCACAATTCACTTATCATTTCCCTTAATACCGAGTCGCCCATCAGATTCTATGATATTATTTTCCTGGGGACTCACGTCCAGCCCTGGTTGGTGCGCGCACTCCAGTCAGTCCCTGTTGAGTGACCGGCCGCATAGCAGTGCCCGGTGGCGCTGTCCGGTTCGCTCCTGTAATCGGACGAGCCCCTTGTGTCGCAGTTCCCATTCTACTCCGACTTCTTTCAGCCTGAAAACGTCACGTAATAAAATAGCTGAAAGCAAGCGCAGCTCTAGATTTAAGTGACTCTTTAGTGGGTACTCACCGAGGGGGCATTTCTTCTTGATGGCGGAACAGTGCCGGCTCGACTTACTGCAAAAGATTTTATTTAATTTGAAAATACGCTCCTATAAACAAATTTTGTTGAGACGAGCATATTTGGGAAATTTTGATAAGTAAAAGCGAGGTGTAAATTTTTCATAATTTTCGATTGTGCGCATGGAAATAAATTCCTGTTGGCCAGCTAGGAATGAGGAATTCTGGTAATCAAATTTAATAAATAACGACGCACATTAGGGCTGCGGGAGTGATTAATGGATCCAACAGAGATATAAAAACACATAAAGAGAAACCAGCCCGTGGTACTGAGGTTGCTGTTACAGCTTCAGGTGTCATCGCACTGCGGTTGACTACTCGCTCATCGGCATCTGAAAATTAATTTATCTTTGTTGTGCGTTTTTGATGACCTTTCGACAATATGTGTTTTTGCTATAGAGAGCAAAAACGCATATTGTCGTAAAGTCGTCCGTGTGTGGGTTTGTTCAGAAGTAAGTGAATCTTGTCGCCCATTTTCAACTCAGCAACCAGGGAAGCTGAAATGCTGAAATTCTGGGAGCATATCCCACCTCGCGCATCACCTTTTCGTTTTAAAATCTTCGCCCATATGAGCCCATATCTTGCGTACGGACTTCCGAAAAAAATATGCAAATTTCATCGGTAGGGAACGATTTCGTGAACCAGACAATATGAAAAGCTGGAAATTTGCAAGGATGTTCTCTGCGCATGTACGAGCCAAAGATTTCAAATTTATCTATAGCGCACATTTGTACCGCAAATATGGTCATGCCAAAATTCTGAGTTGGCACTGTGCTAACTAGAAAATTATTTCGAAAGCAGTAGCTGAAGTTTTGTCGCAATATTTATGTTTAAACTGAGTTTCGATTTGCACTTGCGCCAAGACTTGGGGAATTTCAAAAATATATGTAGCGAAGCGATTCTTCCGCTTACCAGGCAAGTTACAAAGCTAAAACTTCGCAAGGATATTCTATATCCACGTGTGCGGTCTTAATTCAATTTGGAGGTGAAATTTCCTGCACGCCGAAATAAAAAATGCCCGGTTTTATCACAAATTAAAAAGCGAATGCATTTTGCAAATTTCATAATCCACTTCCGAATTCCTTCAAATTTGCATTTTTCGATAAATGGAACACAGACTGGGACGCATCAGGCTTGCCGGTGCGATCATACGTTTTTGCACCAGACTTGAAGTGCTCAGATAACTAACTGCATGAAAAGTTGTTACATTACACTTACTTTTTGCGCTCACTAGCATAAATCACCATAAATTTTGCATAAAATGGACGAACAATTTCCATTTAAAGGTCTTTGTCTGAAAGTAACCTAGCTGTTCAGTGAGCAGTTTTCCCGCTAAGACTTTTAAGTGCCCATACGTGAAAATCGCGCATATGTGAAAGCTGAATTTGAAATACATGAGTTGTTGCCCTAAAATTTCAGGGAACATTACCCTAAGCTTTCCAGCTTTTCTGGCTCCCGAGTTAATAATTTTTCCACCAGAAATTTCATACCCCTCAAGTGAGCACCACGTACACCTGGGGACTGAATTTGAAATCTTTAGCTCACACATGCACAGGGAATATCCCTACGAAGTTCCAACCCCTTAGCTCGTGTGCTTCCCGAGATCGCTTTGCGGCCAAAAAATTTGCAAATTTATTTAAAACGTCCGTATGCGGCACCCAGGCATCCGCTGGGGATGAAATTACAACGGGAAGGTCACGCATGGTATGGGCACATACTCCCAAAAATTCAGCCTTCTAGCTTTTCTGGTTGTGAAGTTGAAAGTGGGTGACAAAAAGTGCAAACACACAGGCACACACAGACACATACACACAGCCTATTCCCAATATGCGTTTTTGCAATTTGTATATATGCAAAAATGCATGAAAACGCGTATTGACAAGAGGCTATATGTGTGTCTGTTTGTTCGCACTTTTTGTTACCCACTTTCAACTCGAGAAACAGAAAAGCAAGAAGGCTGAAGATTTGGGAGCATGTGCCCACTGCGCTACTCCCCCGTTTTAATGTCATCCCCCCGGATGTGTGGATACTGCGTACGGACGCTTTAAAAAATATGCATATTTTTTGGCGGGAAAGCGATTTCGGGAACCACACGAGCTAAGGGGCTGAAACTTTGTAGGGATATTCCCTGTGCATGTGCCAGCTAAAGATTTCAAATTCAGCCCCAGGTATGTACAGTGCTCATGTAAGGGTGTATGAAAGTTTTAGCGTGAAAATTGCTGGCTCGGGAATCAGAAAAGCTGGAAAGCTGAAATTTTAGGGGAATGTTCTCTGTCCAAGTGCAGCTTAAGTATTTCAAATCAGCCTTGAGCTATGCGTAGTTCTTACATACGGGAACTTAAAAGTTTTGGCGGAAAAATTTTTCACTGAACAGCTAGGTTACTTTTAAAGAACGACCGTTAAATGGAATTGCACATTTACTATGTGCAAAATTTCTGGTGATTTATGCTAGTGACCGCAAAAGGTAGATGTAAAGCAACAACCATTCATGCAGTTAATAACCTGAGTATTTCAAGTATTGGAAAATGTTGCATTGCTGCTGGCAGGTTGTAGTGACAAGAGGTAAGAGGAATAGAACAGTCGATTTTGTTTATTTGATATTAGTGAAGAAGCCAAATAGTACAACCTCATTTAAGCTAGTCGGTATGTGCATCGGGTAATGTCTGTGTTTCATCCCTGACTGCAAACACAGACGACTAAAATGCAG